GTAAACCTAGGAATTTCCCGTGGTCGAAACTACCGCCCGACCGGATGGAACCGGACAAAAGACTCATAAACCCTAGCCCGATCGGTCAATTTTATGACCTGCCTACGTGCAAAATGCGATGTTATAATTCTCAGAAAGCTGGTTACAAGAATCGAATGAATGCTGTCTTTTTCCTATACTAATACCGACTATTATTTGTCGGTTTATTTGAAATAACTTAAAATATATGAAAAAATATATAAATGAAATTATTGCGACAAACCAGAACCATTGGAACACCCTATCAAATTAATTAATAAGAAAAAAAGATATCGGAACTGCCACCCACCAAGATATTGTCAGAATAATATCCAAAAAATATACATATATTACACGAGATTAATAACACATCACAAAATTCCGCGGACTTTTTTATCTTGAAACAACCCTTTAATTTTTACTTATTGTTTATTTAATATGCCCTATACTTTATTTTAAAATAATATAACGCTGATCTGCGAATCAATTATAATTAATGCAACCTTGACTACCCTGGACTTTCCAATCAGTATAACTTTGGTACTGAGTTATGAAAACAATAAGCGACGATTGTAATAGAAATAGAGTAAAACACGATTTAAGGGATGAATTTAGGATGTACTTATTAATATTATTTTATTATTGTTATTACCAATCTTAAGTGACACATTTCTAGCGGTAATACATATTCGCTGAAGCAATTAGCATTTCCATTTAAAGGTAAATAATAATGAAAAAGATAATTATCCAATTTAACGTAAATTTTTATTTTTATATTTATAAGTTAAATTGGAAACTATTCTTGTCATTTACATATTCCCTTTTATTTTAGATAATTTAATATTTTAACCATCAAATCAATTGGTAAGATTAGTAAAGCATTGGTGATCGTAACGTCTCAATCAATTTTTCAATGCTCTGTATGAACTTTATATGTTTTTAACAGCCAATAAACGTCTTTAGAATGGAAAAATTGTTTTTAAATTTTCCAGTTATATTCCATTGAAGTAAAACTACCCTTGGCAATTACTTATTTCTGTAATACATGTAGATAATTGTTATTAATGTTCCAGAAGCACTTTTAACTGCTGGATTGATTCCCACAGCGCCCTACACTATCACAACAAGGCCATCTCAGAAACGTAACTGCGCCACTCAGATGCCCGTAAAACCGTACCACGTAACATGGGCGCCCATTCTACAATCCCGAAACTGTGCCACCCAAACTCCTCCCCCGCACAAAGAAAGTTCCGTATAACCCCCCAAATGTCTCGGTATCGGGACCAACACCACCTGTGATATTTGAGAATATCTCGTATTTTTAAGCGACAATTATCAAGATTCTGTTATAAGTACTGTTAATACATGTGAATAAGAAACAAAAACTCTATGTATGGCGTGTGTTTTTCCTTGGAAACAATTTTGGAAATAAACCACTTCACAATCGTAAAATCTTGTATTTAATCTAAAGCAAAGGGAGAACTTACAGCCCCATACCGATGCCTGTCCGTCTGTCTATCTGTCAGAACCTCTCAGACCCAAATTGTTTAAAAAATTAATTTAGTATAGGTAAGTATTAAAAGTTTGTTACTACCCAATGCAGTAGTTTACATAAGGGTAAATAATTCAGATATAATTGGCGGTAATAACAAATGGTCGAACAAGTACCTAACGAAAAAAATAAATAAAACAAATAAATAAATAAAAAAACTACATTTATTCCTAATGTATTAATCAGAATGATCTGAAGTAAATTGAATGAGCTTAATCAAAAAGTATTCTAGTGTTTAACGTCTAGAAAAAATTACATCAGTCAATTAATTTTCAAAAAAAATAGAGATATGCAATCATATTTTATTAAGAGAGCATTGCAAATACATATTTTCTAAATACATGCTGCGATCGCTTATTTTTATAAGTGTAAGTAGGTTCACTTGAGAAAAAAAACTACTTTTCTTGAGAAGGAAACCATGTAGAACAAGCATCTACAGCGATTTCACACATTGCTGATATGGCCTTATTGGCATTTTCATAATCTGTAAAAAAAAACAAAATGCTCCTTTCAAGCCCTAACGAAGATGCAAAATGAAAAATATTCTTTCAGTATCTACGTATTGTTGAGTGCTGGCTTTTATGACCGTTGTTTACCGTAGAAACTGTTTGATTTTCCTTAACGTTTCGCTGCTCATGCTGTTAGCTTCTTCAGAAGGAATCTGTGACAGTAATCACGTTTCTTCTGAAAAAGCTGACTGCCTAAGCAGCGAAACGTCAAGGGAAAATCAACCGATCACGGGAGAAACTGGAATAAGTTTTTTTACAGAAAGCAAGATATCCATATTTTGGATTTTATATTTTACAGTAAAGAATCCATCGTTTCGTATGTTATTGATAATAAAATATAAAATTTTAAAATATCTATTATCACTTGCTATTGAACCAATTTCTTTTTTTTTTAACACGTTGCGCTTTTCTGACTTAGGTATAAAGGCACTGTCAATTTATTTCAGAATCACCGTATCTATTTTCAAAAACAATTTCTATTTTCTTCCAACAAAAATAATAAAAAGTATTATTGCAACATAAAAATCGTAGAATATCTCTCTTATAGTTAAAATGTAAGACAAATACCTCCAGTAACAACACCACTGGCACTAGTGCGTTTACCAAAAATGGAACCATTAAAGGGTGGCTTTCTATAAGTTCCTTCAGCGGATTCGAAAACCATTGAATACAAGGTAATTACTAACAAAAATGCAAGAAGTCTGTAGAATACCTGAGCCATTGTTCTTTCTACAAAATTAATAAAAAAAATATGCTACATATATAATCTAATTAAGTAATTAAATATCTTTAATATCCAAGTATAGGCAGTACATCGCCATCTAGCGGTTATTTGCTGCTAATAAGTATTGCATACGTTAGACAAGACCTTATTAAAAGGTATCAAATAAAAATAGTTTTACTTTAGGATTTTTTATGCACTTTACTAAAAACGAACCCCTATAACACATACTGAGAAAGAAAGTTTTAAAATTATAGCAAAAATTTATGCAATAAGTAATTTATGTTTTCTATAGATATAAGTCCAGAGTAAATTTTTTTAACATACCTGGTTTATTGTATTGCCTTGCTGAAGTTGCTTTAACGACTGAAGGAACTTTTAGAATGATGGTTTGGAAGAATATTTTAGCTTTATATAGGAATCTTTCAAGATTAAAAGATAAATTCATTGCGCATCCTTTGCGCTTCTTGTAAAATAGATTAAAAGTCTATTTCCAAGATTTATCAGGACATGATAACATTAAAGGAAATAACTTGGTACTATTCCCAAAGGATTTACTTCTTATTACTACTAGACACATGTAGGCACTTTTTATTATCCTGTTTATTAAATACAAAAAAAAATATTGTGTCTCGCTATCACACACGTAAATTGCAATAAAGAAAGAATAAAATATTAACGAGATTCTAGATTTCTAAACATTGATTTAGGATTTCGTATTTTTAGTATTTTAGTTTAGTTTAGTTGTATTGAATTCCAATTGATTTTCTTGTGAAAAAAAATATATAAAAATCTAATATTAGGCATAACGCTATTTACTAAATTTACTAATTAAGATGAGCTATCAGTAATACAGAATAAATAAAAGCATGGTAAATAAAGTACTAAATACTAGTAAAAATAATGGGTGTTCGGTAAAACTTCTCTAAACGCACAATGAAAACACCCAACACCCGATGGAATGGAAATCGAAGAAGTATTAATTATATACAGTACATATTATGAGGTAGTAAATATTCTGAAACTTCTAAAAAATACTAAACTAAATAAAAGGGATTGAGTACCTACGTAGTGATATGTAATTACTAACGATAAGAAAATTCATTTATATAACGTATATGTACGTGTAAGAACATTTATGTTGTTTTTCCAAATTAATAATTTGATAGTTTTTGCTGTATAAATGAAAATGGATCCTTGTATGATCACGTATTAATACGTATTTATCTGTCTGCCTTTCACAACGAGTTATTCCAAAAGGTATTTGATGTAGAAACAGTAAACAAATTGTTGATCAGTATATTTTTTAGAAATCAGCTTTAAAAATGCTATTTATTTGATAAGTAGAGGAAACGAAGTCGTTTGGGATAATAAAAAAAAAAATAAATACAATACGTGTCCCAAAAACGGGCCCGGCAGATTATGTTCGGCCCCGATGGGTAACTGATCTTACGAAACCTGAAGGAATGGGTATAAACAAGGATAAAACAAAATAATATTGTTGAAACTATTATTATATTACATAACATTAACAATAACAGTTACACGAGGCTCTCTCAATTATGCAACGCAAAAACTGCAAATAGTTGATTTAAAAAAATGGGTTAAATCATTTTCGAATCTACTTTTTAGAGATGAGATAAATTGGTCAAACGTCTTAAAGACTATTTTTCAATTAAACCTTTCGGGGTAGTAAATTCATATGTATCAGTTGCTCGCGGGATTTGGGGTTTGTTTAGTTGAAGGTCAGCAAAAATTTGAACGCTTTTCTTTCATATTTTCTAAAATTTATCATTACGAGAAGCATTTAAAACGACTGTAACCGCTTCTATTTGGCCCATATAAAAATAAAGTTGGTTACGTCCTTGCAGGAGAAGATTAATAATAATTTAATTCAAATCAAATGTGGCCTGCCTAAACGCAGTGCCCATTAGCCTTCAACTTTTGTCTAAGTTTGAAAAGAAATATCAATTTATTTAAGTTAGCTGTGCCCATCTAAATTTCCACAATGGAACTTATTAGTGCTTGCCTATATTTTAATTTTGGCGACGTTTTCAAAAAGCCATGCTTTAGAAGCCCAATATTAAAAATGTAGTGGCTATAACATACCATTAGAATGTCTGTATATGCAACCAACAATACACCCGAATATGGACATTTGAACTCCCCTAGTTCTTTGCAATTATTTAGATTCTCATTAAAAACCTAAGCAACCTTTCCATCTTTCGATAGAACTTTACAGGCATAAAGATGAGGTTGTCAAGAGTAATCTAAGCTACTTTCTTTATTTCTTCATGTTTCTTGCGTTAATGTTGGAAACGTCAGAATCGATTCCGATGGGGCTATTTCTCAGGATAAATAATGGTTAATATAGATATAAACAAAATCCAGCATTAGATTTATATCACATATGTATGTATATTAAACTTCCAATGAACAATAATAAATAAACAAAATAGAAAAAGAAATATCTTATCTAGAGTACCTTAAGTTAAATGTATAAACTTTTAATAATTTGAACCCTTTTGGTAATTTAAACTACTTTCGGTGTTTTAATAAAACAATTCAGTACTAATCTTCTCATAATTTTATTTAAATAGTATATACAATAAACAGGTAGCTACATTAAATTTACTGTACTAAAATCGCCCTATCAGAGTTGATAGTATATGTTTTTTATGTATAAAGCTCTTCTACCAAGCAAACAAATATCTAGAACCATATTTTGCTGGTGGTTTCTTTGCATCTGCAGGCAGTGCATCTGGAGTATCAGTAAAAACTAGTGGTGGCTCAGGCTTGGGCTTTGGTCTCTTAGAATCATGTATTTGAACTTCAGCAAAGTAACCATAATATGGTCTTTCCATCTTTAATTTATCTAACATACACTTATCAAAAACTGCTTGAGTTTTACGACACCTGTAAATAAATATTAAACAGAGATGAAACACACTGAAGCAACTTAATAATACACAAATACTTACACAGAATATGATTGATCAGTACTGGATTTGTCTAAGCAGTTGGCATATTGGGTAAATTCACCTGCACAATTCGATTTAACTAATCTAAGAAATTTTAAGGCACACGCCGTTACAGCTTTTCCTTCTCCAATGCATGCCCGCGGATCTCCTAATTCGTCTCGACATAATACAAATTCCTGCAACCCTTAAAGTGATGTTTCTGTTTTGATATGATTAGATAATTAACCTCACATTATTAACGTTCTGACAATACTTTCCTAAATGGAAAGCTGCAGCTTTTAGAGCTGGGCCAGAAAGTTTAACTTCTGGAACGGTAAGTTCTGCTTCTGTTGGAAGATGCACATCTTTCGTTATACCCATTATTTTTTCAATCAAATTTTTGTAAATACAAAATTTCTTTTAGGTAAAAGTTAAACCTGAAAGACCTGAAATCAACTCTTACCATAGATAAGATAAAGGAACATAGGTAAGAAAATCTATGGTAAGAATGTCATGTGTATTATAGATATAGGAAAGTATCACAAATCACAAGTAACTCATTCTTCTATGATTCTTTTTGACGTTACTCATTACCGATCTAACCTAACATATTTTAATAAGTAGGATATCGATACTGATAATTGATTCCCGTATTAGTAGCAGAATTTCAGCTAATAGCTGAAGTCCACGTCTGTTTATTATGTAATGTTACTTCTAACAGTTCGTGTAATGCACACAATTTTTTAAAATGCATAGGTGTTTTTATTTCATTTATGTTTTAATATATTTGTTAAATTCAAATGTTCTGAGTGCAGAACTTGATTCAAAGAAGCAAACCAAATTTCCTCCATGTAGAGCATGTAAAGTTTTTATCGAATCATTTAAACGGGGATTAGATAAAACGGCGAAAGGTAAATTTGAAGGAGGTGATGCTGCATGGGAAGAACAAAATCAAGGAAGTTATGCTACAAGTGAAGTGAGACTTGTTGAAATTCAAGAGCATATTTGTTCAGATGTTAAGGAAGGCAGTGATCAATGTTATTTACTAAATGAAGAGCATGATTTAATTATAGAAGAATGGTGGTTTAAACATCAGGCTGAAGAACCTGATATATTTAAGTACTTTTGCATAGACAAGTTACAATCATGCTGTCCAGATTTTCATTATGGTACAAACTGTACACCATGTGACGGATATCCTGACAACATTTGCAGTAATAATGGAAAATGTTCAGGTATATAAAGCATTTTTACACCTAATTTTATTTAAAATTTACATATTGAACATGTATATATCTGTAGGTTCAGGGACAAGAAAAGGTAATGGTAAATGCAAATGTGATCCTGGATATTCAGGAGAAAAATGTGAAGAGTGTGCTGAAGGCTATTATGAATCATACAGGGATGCTACAAAATTTCTTTGCTCAAAGTGTCATCATTCTTGCGATGGTAAATGTACAAAAGGAGGGGCAGGAGGTTGTGAAAAGTGTCACGTAGGTTGGAACAGAAATAGTAACAATGAATGTGTAGACATTAATGAGTGTGCTACCCTCCGAGCAGCTTGCAGTCCTTTACAATTTTGTGTTAACAGTGAGGGTTCTTATAAATGTCTGGAATGTGATAGAGCATGTTCTGGTTGTACTGGTGACGGCCCCGATATGTGTCAACGTTGTGCAAAAGGCTACACTTTAGTAGATAAAATGTGTGTTGATGCTGATCAAGTACAACGAAAACAACATGTATTCATAACGCGGTACTTGACCTACTTAGGTTTATGTATTGCTACTTGTATTATTTTTCAACGAAACATGATTTTGGCAAGTGTCATTGGCCTCGCAGTTGCAGCATATATTACAGTATCAGAGTATTACCTGGACAAGCCAGAAATAAATGCCACAAATTTAGTTAATACACTTTTTCCAACTACATAAACCATTATGATCTAATTAGGCAATTTATAGAATTTAAGGCATATTAGCTAAAGTAATGAATGAATTACATTTAAGGGATTTTTGAACGAAAGCATTTTTAAAATATTCAAAAAATTAGACATTTTTATTGAAGAACACATCTGGGTTTATTTTGAATAGCAAATTACCCATTAAGATTGCAAAAAAGCGAGCTAATTGGTATGACATAAGTTTACATTTAGTGTAATTTAATAAACCATATTGCCGTATATTTGCCACTACAGATGCACTTTAAGCGTAATTCATCCATTATTATTTTAACTAATTTTAAGTCAATTTTTGTGATATTAATAAGTGCAAATATCGCACACAATTTTAAGTATGACTAGTTGCATACCAGTTTACATACTTCAGCAGCTAAATTGGTTTAATTTTAATTTAAATTATACGTGTTACATTTTGTAAGGGAATGTATCTGAGAAGTAAAATATATGTATAACTGAATTGTATGTGATAACACGGTTGTCTTGTGATTTACAACAACTTCTTGTATATTTATTTCCATCTTATCCGTTTACATCACAGTTTAAGCAGAAAAATATCAAAATACGTGAAATTCAAAGAAAAAACAAATTACTGCATATGAAACAGCAGCGTCTTCCTTATAATAATGATTCGGTAAACATTTTCCTTACTATATAAAATATAAAAAAAAGTAAAAAAATTTGAGTAATACAAATAATTACATAAAATGGTTATTTTCGTCTTATTAAATCTATTCATATGACCATGTATGGAATCACGTAATTCTTCCCGATTCGTTAAGTTTGGTAACATGCCTCCGCAAGTCTTTTATGTAATCTAGCATGACTTTTGGCAATACAGTGTCTAGTATGACTTTTGGTATCCAACCCTTAAGATTGGTGTTAAGCACCCATAAAAAATGACATTTGCTAGGATCGCCGTTAATTGGTTTCATAATCCAACAACCAATACCATTTTCACCACTAAAAAAAATTAAAACTATATTTGAAATTGTATGACTATCGTATTTATGCACCCCTTCGTAATTTTAATCATTAAAATAACTAACAAAAGGAAAGTATATATTTCGATCTGGTAACATTATCTACATAGTATAACATATGGGAGCAGATGCCCAATAATGTAAGCCAAAAAACATCCATAAACTCATTAAAAAACAGTTCTGGTTGACAGGATAATTTTTCCCAGAAATTTCAAAACGTTACAACTGTCTCTCCCAGGCCGTAACTGCTTATTTTTTTCAATTGGCAATAAATTAATCAATTTTGTTTTTTCCTTAATTATATCACCATTCAAATAAATATTTTAGTAATCATAAAACTACTCAATTTTTTTCTTGTATGGGAAACTGAACTCTTTTTTACCTGGTTCTATATACTTCAAAAATTACTTAAACGACATTTTAAGTATATATTGATATGTACACAAAAATTACTTAGATCGCATGTGCAAAACAATGAAAAATGTTATTAAAAGTTAAAAAGCACGGATTAAACCAGCTAAAGTACCAAATATATCGAGGATTTATAGAAATGGCGCAACAACAACGTTCACTGAACATGCGTTTCCATAAGCGAAAGTTTAACTTGTTCATGATATACGTCAGTCCATCATAATTGATAAGCTACACATTATGCGGAGTTTCCCTTATGCGATGTTCACGCTATCAAGCGTACACTGTATTTAAAAAATTAAATCTACTAATACAATTGCATATTCTAAAACTTACCGTATATACTTTTCGTTCTTGGGAACAGACTGATGTTCCGTATTATCATAAGCTATGACGTAAGTTTCATCGATTATGCCCCAATGTCTTAAGGTGACGAAATCGCGACTTGCAACCACTCCGCCAGAATCCGTGGACACTTGATAACTAATATCAGTATATTCATCAAAAGATTGAACCTTATGGGATTCCAGCAACGACGGATTCCATTTTGGAATGCTCTCTACTTTATAATAAAGTTCTTCTAATAGACAGCGAGGTGGTATGTCGATTATCGCCTAATAAATACATTTTGTAAACAAAAAAGAAAACAAATTGTCAAACAAGCATAATGCAACACATATTAAATACATACTAGTATTAAATGAAACAATAAATAAAACAAAAGAAGAATTTTATGTCTTACCGATAACTTGAAAATTTTTCTTCCACAAAAATTCATGGAATAAAGGCAATCTTTATTATCGGTTTCCTTTTCTAATTTCCATTCTGTACAGTTACAAAGTTTCCAGACGTCCCTTAATAACTCGGCTCCTTTGGATTTGTACTCTTCTTCCTAAAAAGAGAAAAATTATAACCGGTAATTTTATTAGAGAAAATACTTGAGTTTGTTACCGATTTCATTTGGGTTTCGCCAACGCTAACAAAACATCTTACAGGCAAAATAACCCTAACTACGCATCGAAACATCTTACGAAAATGAAGACAGAAAAATGTGTTTATTTTACAAATTTATACCACTCTGCAATGACAAAAACTGTTTTTAAATTCAAATACGCTATCAATTTTAAAAGCAAATTTATAACTTATGTAAAACTGACACAAGACAAATTTCTGGTTGTATAAGTATGCAAAATAATTTCATTATAATTTAAATAGATTAAAATCTGAAAACAAAACTTACTTTTTCCTGTGACAATTTTATCACAGGATATCTTCCTAAGCCTTCAACTCCGTGCAGCGATCCTTCTGGTGAACCCAATGGCGAATAAAAGTTTCCAACACTCTCAGTGTACATAGATGGCAAATTCTGAAGGTAATTTCTTATTAATGGCGTTCTCTCGGTCTCTGGTCCACCTTCGGAAAAATGTTTTGATAAATTAAAACAAAATAAACAAATTGTCATTTACTTTTAGTTTTTATCTGGTTTGTATACTGCATTGTGTTCAATTTTGAGTTCTATTTCTGACAGTAAAAACATTTCAAACTGTATGCAATACTTCACATGTCGATAATGACGTTTTTAAAAGCATTTTTAATATAAATCTGACATTCTTATGCATTTAATACATTACTTTAAATTAACTGCATCGTATATTTACATTTGCTTGCCAAAATTTTAAACAATGAACGGTGCATAGTTCAAAAAGACATTATGGACAAATATGCACACAATCCTGAAGCTAATTAGAATATTTAGCATACGAGCATACGATTAATAATCAAGAAGTGTCTTCAATTTAGCTTCTTATTTATTGTCGGAACATTCGAGGGAATAGTATGCGTATTCAATTTTTTATAGAATTATATTGAACGGCTTTCTCTGCAATTACAAATGACTGTAAATCGGTAATCCAATCATGTACAGTACTGATAGGTAATAAGTTTTATGCAGTAGACACTTAATAGTGTGAACTAGAAAAAACAACAGTTATTCACAGTATTAGTTTTTTCACGTTAAGAATTTTATGCTCTATATGTAATAAATGTAATAGGTCTGTTTGTGTATGTTGTGAGATGTTTACACTATTCAGTGTCTACTGTATTTATCACGAACTTTAAATAATTTTAGAATCTCAGAAACACAGAAAACGGGATTTTTAGAACAATATTTGTATATTCTTAGAACTATACTTAAAGAATTACACCAAAAATTATTTTATTTTTTGGTATTTAAATTATTTAATATTTAACGCATGTATGTTTATTATGTAACATAAACTTAAATATACAATGTGAAATTAACTTACTGACAAATAACCTTTGAGCATTAAGTTCCTGTGGTATAACTCTAAAATCAAAGAACCAGGTTTCACCCCAAGATATTACAAATGATGTTAAAATAAGCAGAACTTCAAAAACAGGCTGCGATGAATTAGTCCACTGAAAAATAATAAGGAAATTATCGATTCAATTAATGAAGGCAACTTTTTAGTTATAACATTTGTTAAAATAACAATAATGACCTTTAAAAATTAAAAATCATACCTAAATGAAAAAAAATAATTAAGTGTAACTTTTAGCCTTGAATAGACGACATTTAGAATAAGTGAAGCAAATAGGACATTACAACATGTTAAAAACTAATTACTGAAAAAGCCAAACTCATATGAGCATTTTCAGTCTATTCCAGTTTAAGAAAACAATGCATATTTTTTAATACTTACAGTATAAAAGAAAACTTTAGTTATCAGGAAAGCACAAGTAGCAAAAGTTGATACCTAAAAAATTTAGCAGTTAACATAATGTGTTTTACTTACTGTAATCAAAAATTACTAACCGAAATAATTACCCAATGATTAATATAAAAAAATCCATAAAACAGTAGCAAAACCAAAAATCTACACAGTGCAACCATAACAACATCAAAGAGTGAAGAATGAATATTATAACGAATAATTTGGTTCTCAATAGCAACTGTTAAGTCTTTGCCACTAAGCTACAAAATAAATTTTAGATAATTTATGCCTAAAATTTAAATGGGCAATATTATATACTTACTGTTATACATATTATCCACATTAATGTGGTAAATGCTAAATCAAAAGTTACAAAGAGGCAAAAGAATCTTCTAATTGAAGACATCTTCCCATCTATTCGTTGGCCTCCTAACAAATCCTCAGATATCACATATTCAGTTCTTATAGAGGGGATGGTATTTATAGAGTGTGAATGAGCTAAGATATAAAAAACATATTAGTTATTATTTGTCCTTAAATAGACACCTGTTTAATAAGGTAATACCCCTTACTACTATTTTTATTAACTTGCAAATACATAGATTTCTTAAGTTTTACTTGCTTGTAATAAGATGATACTTATTTAACAAATATTAAAATTTAATAAATNTTTATCAAAATTTAGGGAAGTGAACAATTTAATTTTAATTAATAATAACAACAAACAGAAAAGGTTTTCAATTAGTTTTACTTACAGATATCAGGAGTTTGAATCTGTTGATGAGAACTTGAAGATCGTAAAATCGCCTCAGCCGCATTTCTTATTTCGTATTCAGGCATCATATTGCTAATATCAAAATTTATGTTAAAATGTGTTTAAACTATAGTATTTATTTTCATTTCCATTATTTTAGAGTGGGTTTATACACGTACCATATACACAAAACAAAACCATTATTCCAAATATATTGAATGAATACGCATCCTTAGTTTATAATATAAAAAACGAAGCCGATCAAAAAATATTAAATCACATACACTAAACCCATAAAAATTATGTGAATATTAATGTAAACTGATATAAACTATTAAACTGCTATAAACATACAAACAGCTGATAAGCAACAACAATGAACAGCATAGAGTGCGTACAAATCTAAACTGTTATCCATAGGCAAGTGATAGCATCCAAATGTAAAACTCCCTGGAACATCATAAAAAACAAAATTTGAAATTGCTAAAGAAAATAACATTTTAATTCAGTAGTTGTTATCTTGTAATCAATGTAAATTTCAGAAAAAAGTATAGTTTATTCGATTTCGTTGGATTTTTTTCTCTTCCGTGTGTTTTTACATATTCTAAAAGTTCTTGACACCCTCTGTGGTTTTTGTATTTTGGACGTATTGGCACCATTTGTTGTCAGCAGTTGTTAATAAATGTGACATAAACACTTCAGAGGTTACGTTGGTTATATTTACAATTTGTAAACGTCAAGAAAATGTTACGTTCTTCACTTCAATTGATAGAATTGTGAATAATATCTTTCAAGTTGTTCTAATTTTCTGTAAAAATTAATCATCCCTATTAAGAACCAGGTTGTACTGTTAAAAATGAGCGATAAACAGTCTGTAGGGGGGAATCAGTCCCAAGCTCAACCACTAGTGAAGATAGGGCACTATATTTTGGGTCCTACATTGGGTGTTGGAACATTCGGCAAGGTAAAAATAGGAGAACATCAGCTCACAAAACACAAAGTTGCAATTAAGATCCTAAACCGACAAAAAATTAAAAGCCTTGATGTGGTGGGTAAGATTCGTAGAGAAATCCAAAACCTTAAGCTTTTCAGACATCCTCATATAATTAAATTATATCAAGTAATTAGCACTCCAACCGATATTTTCATGATTATGGAGTATGTATCAGGAGGTGAATTATTTGACTATATTGTGAAACATGGTAAACTTCAAGAACATGAAGCAAGAAGATTTTTTCAGCAAATTATATCTGGAGTGGATTATTGCCATAGACACATGATTGTTCACAGAGATTTAAAACCAGAAAATCTTCTGTTGGATCATAATATGCATGTGAAAATTGCAGACTTTGGCTTATCAAATATGATGATGGATGGAGAATTCTTAAGAACCAGTTGTGGTTCTCCTAATTATGCAGCTCCTGAAGTTATTTCTGGAAAATTGTATGCAGGACCTGAAGTTGATATTTGGTCTTGTGGAGTAATTCTGTATGCACTCTTATGTGGTACATTACCTTTTGATGATGAGCATGTACCAACATTGTTCCGAAAAATAAAGTCAGGGATATTTCCCATACCAGAATATCTGAATAAGTCTGTGGTTACTTTACTATGCCACATGTTGCAAACAGATCCTATGAAAAGAGCAACTATTGAGGATATTAAGAAACATGAGTGGTTCCAGAAAGATTGTCCTGCATACCTTTTCCCATCACCTGTTGATCAGGATGCAAGTGTGATAGATACAGATGCTGTTTATGAGGTAAGGTATGAATGTACATGTCATTTGATCATGGTAATTTTTAAATACTTGTCATTGTTTTGATATTATTACTTATCATATGAAGAAAACCATTCTTTTTTATTAGTAAATGGAGTAACTTTTTTAAAGGTTTGTGACAAATTTGGAGTAAAAGAAACAGAAGTTCATAATGCTCTTCTGAGTGGTGATCCACATGATCAATTGGCCATTGCTTATCATTTGATTATTGATAACAAGCGTATTGCTGATGAAGCAGCAAAGGCAGAAATAAAAGATTTCTTTGTGGCTGGAAGTCCACCACCTGTAAGTATTACACCCACCCCTGTTCCAGTACCTCAGTCAGATTCTGCAAGTCCACTGAAACCTCATCCAGAACGAATTGCCCCTTTGAGAGATAGGGTTTTAGCTTCAACCCAATCAGAGAGAGGAAGAGGTATAAATTGAATATTATTTCAAGGCATTTTGTTATAATATTGTTATTTATTTGTTCAAGGAACCCCCATAAAACGCGCCAAATGGCATTTGGGAATTCGTTCACAAAGTAAACCACATGATATTATGATGGAGGTTTACAGAGCAATGAAGGCTCTCGATTTTGAATGGAAAGTTATAAACCCATACCATGTTAAGGTCAGACAAAAGAATGCCTTGCATGATAGATACATAAAGATGTCCCTACAGCTTTATCAGGTTAATTTTGATAAGTCTGTTGAAATTTAAGATGTTTATTTTTTTTTTAATTGTATTCTAGGTGGATTTTAAAAGTTATTTATTAGACTTCAAAAGTCTTAGCAGTGAAGAGAATGAATCAAACAATGCATCGATGGACGTTCCTACACCAATACAGCAGTCTATTGATGACCTTTCCCAAAAATCCAATAAAAACAGGGGACACCATACAATGGAGTTTTTCGAAATGTGCGCCGCTTTGATAATACAATTAGCCCGATAATTGCATAACTTATTGATGTATCTTATTACAAACTTGTTTAACAATTGTTTTTGTAGATTTTATCTTTCTGATTAGAAGTAGATAGTTTTTTTTTGTAGTATTGAAATATATTGTAGTTATTGTAGTTTTTGTTGCAAATAAAGGTGTATATTTTGTTAATGTTGTATTATTTTTATTTATCAAAGAAATTTTATTTTTTTGCACATATAACTCCACTGTTGCTACAAAATCTTTCCAATAATAAAAGGGTACTTACCAATCATTGTCCAAAAGTTCCTTTTAATGAATATGATGAAATGGAACTTGAAATGCTTCTTTGCACTTTTAAGTCATTACATGCTTAGAAGAACTTATAATGTTACTAACAAACCCATGTTGCTTTACTTAAAATGATATTGAAATTGATAATTTTGGACAATTTTATTTGGTAAAACGTAAAAAATTATTATAGGTATTCACAAATGGTCTACTTAAGAAGTATATACACGGAATTGTTACAATAACAGACAGTCTTACATGCATTAGTGCTTACATATAAATATATAAAATATTCTATATAAAAATAACATCCAGTACTAACACTTGGCAAGAAATCTTAATGTCGTTTGCTACTGCAGTATTTCTTGCTAATTTAAGTACAACTACGGATGTTGCTAACAAATTTTATAAACTGCTAGGAAAATAAATACATATATATTTGGTTTGCCTTTGATGCCTCTTTCATATATGCATTTTGTTCCATGTTTATTCCTTTCTCGAATCAGTTAAGTAGGTACTACTTATCTCGTATCACATACCCACGCATTAAGCGTAGTAGGATTAACAATAACAAATGATTGTACTTATTTTCGGAAAGAAGGTCAAAAATGTGAAAAAGTTTGCGGTTAATTAATATCACTTCTAACGCTTATATAATTTTCTATATTACTCTAAAAATATACAGACAAAAGGTGAGGCGTTATAACGAATGTCTACTTATTTTTATTTGGCATCTCCTAAAATTAAACATTGACGGCTTTATGGGGGGCGGCATTATCACTGTTATTCTTACTTTTATCCTGTTTTTCCGATCCACTTTGCCATCCTGAATCCATTGTTCCGTCACTATGTGATCCCTGTCCTTGCATTTCTTCTTCTTCAGTACTGTTTGCTTCTCCATACAAAAGTCCCACAGGATTAGCACCCAAGTTTTGAATAAGTGTTGAAATATTGGATCCAATTCGTCTATTGGGAGATTGATTTAGATTGAGGGTTTTGGGTGGAATGTTTTTTTGACTTGGAGATCCACATTTGGGTGAATTATAGTTCACGTTACTGGGATTATTGAAATTAGGATTCCCAAAATTATTATTGTGATAAGATTGGTTAAAATTATGAAGACCAGATATTGTGTTTGTTAAGTTACTAAAGTTCAAAGAAGATCCACAATTCTCGGAGAAATTGTGGCAGTATTTCTGATTTTCATTTTCGTGAATTACTTCATATTGTGCATCTGGAGCCAGGAAGTGATTGGTGCTGGAATTCGAAAAAGTCCGATGGCGACCAAGCTGTTCTGTTCCAGAACTATCAGGAAAATATCCCAGACAGCAGTCCGCTTTCGGGTAGTTTGGTGTGCTTGGTGAAACAGCATCATCCGTTGTTTCTGTCAAAGGTGTTTGTACACTACTACAAAGACTGTTCTGAGATAAATCTTTCGGTAGAAGCATGTGAGAATCGGGTGGTACTTCTGACATTATGATTTCGTCCCCATCCGGCAATGGGAAAGGTAAGCGACTTCTTGTCGACATTTGTCGTTTTCCTAATTTCTGTGCTAAATATTCTTCATCTTCTGTCACTGTCGAAGAAGAGATGTTTTCGTGAAATTTGTGTAGAGCTTCATCGCTGGGATCGAAATCTTTTTCTTTATGATGCTGTTTGGAACCAACTTTCAAAGAACACAGGCGAGGTTTCTGCGTTGCCACTGCTTCATCATAAAGTGAGGAATCTTGTCCGTCGTTCTTCACTGATATATTACAACAGCTACTTACATCAGCAAAATATACTTCGGATTCCGTTGGTTCAGTTTTTGTGGGAGTTCCTTCTTGGTTTTGAAAAGCCGCATTTTCAACACCCTGTAATCGGGGAAGAAACCTGCATTGTTGATTCCCCTCGTTATTATTTTGTTTATGAATATCCTTTAACTCATCGTTATGCTTGTGATCTTCTTCTTCGAGGTAATTTTTGCAATTCTGATTAAAGACGTTTTGAACGCTGGCTCTTGAGTTTACTGGTGGTTGCGAAACGGATTTAACCGATGAGATTTCAGCACGTTTTTTAATCTTCCGAACTGGTAACGTGTGTGAAATACGATCAACGCAGCTAGAGGTATCCGTGCTTTCACTATTTTCATTCGGTGGATGAATTTCAGTGTCTGCTGTGTTTTCGTAGTTATCTTTATTTTGATTTTGGGCTCGTCCGCGAACTTGAGAACTTTGGGTTTGGTTTTCTTGACTCATTTGGCAAAGTGGATTATGCGGATGTGGATGATGAAGATGATGATGACTAAACAGAAAAGGAAACGTAAATTTAATAACTCATTTACCAAATCAATTTTAACATTTGCTAATACCGAGCTGGAGAATGGAATGGTCTCCTGGCCGGTGAATTTGGATTCGAATAAGGTGGTGGAGGACCCCAAATATATACACCGCCCACTGGTCGATTATCTAATACACTATAAGAACCTCCACTGGATCCTGACACAGGCTCATTATTTTGACCAGAATCCCTTTCATTTCTGTTACTAAATCCGTACTGACTATCTGAACTGCTGATTACCCCTTGGTACGTTGATGAATTATCCCTGATCAATACAAAAATTTAAAGGTGAAATGAGATGAAAGCTAAAGACAATTAACCAACCGTGGATTGTCGTTCATGTTTTGTTGATTAGTATTTCCTCTACTCCACGGCAATCGTCTCCAATTCCAACCTCCACCAGATCTCTCTCTACCATTCTCGCCAATTTCATGCCCCTCTTCTCCTGGATTAGGGGAGTAAAAGTTACCCACCCTTCCAGGAGTCCAGAATCTACAGAGAAAAGAAACACAGATAATGTAAAAAATTTTCAAAATTATTTTAACATCAAAAAGTTAACAATAACTACCGAGCACAATCAACAATAACTATATTAAGTACCTAGATACCTATCAAAAGGATGATGAGAGTCCCAAGGATAGATTTGTGGTCCGGCAGGAACTGGAGGATATCTACATTCTTCACAGCAACTGCAGTATGTTGATGGTGGCATTGGTGGTCCTCTAATTGAATTGTGGGCGCTCGCTGGTGTCCCAGTGTGTTGTTGATAAAGGGAACGACATCTCAGTTCCAATTGCTCCCAATACATTTTCTTTTTTTCGTGACTACATAAACAAAAAGAATTAAAGTAGAACGAAAAAAAGAATTTATTGTATTACCTTAAAAGTTGATAAACGAGCATACAGGAAAATATGCAAACAAGGATTCCACTAACAGAAAGACCAAACATGGCACGAAGACAGGAATACAAAGCTCCATGGATAACTTCACAATCGGGAGTCGAATCGAAAACGAATCTCATTCCTTTAACAAGTGTAAGCTGATAGGGAACATCTTAACTACTTTGACGTTTATATTTCTATCTAAGTATTTTTTTGATAACTAGTATGAAATTCCTGTTTAAACAAGGAGAGGGGATCGAAGGGGTCGTATTATTCCTCAAAAATTAATAAATCACACTAAATATAAGGAATTCTGATACTTGATTATTAAGTAACAAAATAACATAAAAATGTTTAAATGAGCAGGTTTTAAACTTAAATTGAATCTGGATGAAGAATGTGTTTTATTAAGAAATATATTATTGGAAGCTAAAACTGGAATTTTTCTACAAAAATTTTGTATGAATTCCTTTGAAAACATGCTGTAGATATGCGTAATTGATGCGAAGAATTATTTTTTAATTATTTGGAGTGTTAAAATGATGAAGTCTTTTAAAGGAGCACCTTTTACAAAATACGATTTCACGTTACAAATTTTTCAGTATTTCATCTAAAAAACGTTTTAGATTCAACTGTACTGCCGAAAAAATTATAAATAAAGATACTTTCTGGACTAATTAATTGAGAGGGGAGCAGGGGCGGCCTTAGCCATTGGAAGCCTCCAGGCGAGTAAATTTTTGCGAGACCCTTGTGAAATTAGTTTTAATGATGATACTTGACCAGAAATTCAGTTATTCATAAATAAATTTAGAGTTTTAAAATTGTTTATTGAATAAACACAAAGACAGCAAATTTGCGGATTTTTTAAAGACTTAAGAAATTCAAATAAACATTAGTAGTAGGTACTATTACTACGTAATATTTTTATAATTAGATTGTGGTGCAGGGCGCGAGATCCCGGGCAGTTGTCCTGCTCGCCGGCCCCAAAGGCCGCCCCTGGAGGGGAGAGTCCAAGATTTTGAGAAAGGGTTCACAAAAATTTCTGCCCCTTTTACTAATTTGGTTTTTCTGAACTTGAAGAGGAGGAGTTCAATCAACCCCCCAACCCTTTTAGATCAATCAGTGATTGAGTATTTATTTGTACCTTCGTCGGTAGTTGCATGAGCTTCAAGCAAGACGGAATAACAAGTGCATGTGCGTGTTTTCTGTGTGTAAACGCACTCCCTGAGTGTCTGCAAACGGTTCATGTGGATGACCGTTGTTGTTATGGTGACCAAGACGCAGGTGAGCGCGCACACGAGGCAACAAAGGCCGCAGACCTTAATCTGAAATATGAGGCGTCGTTAATGTCTCCAACAAGGTGGCAACATATGGTTTATTAAACATGAATTTTATCTGTTTTACCAAGTAGCTGTAGCGATTTTTTCTCCTCGCCAGACTCATTACGCAAAGGCCGGTCAGGATCAACTGGAAAGAAAAAGAATTCGGACAGGATTTCAATTAAGGCCTTTTACTGCTTCGTAAAATGTAATACAGCAGACCATTAATGATCTAATTAGAATCTAAATAATTAATCATTCTTTTGCGTCCAATAAAAAGATAATAAGTACCATTTAAAATGCAATACTTAAAACATTAACGATAAAATCGAAATATCATACATTTTAGAAAATACTACAAATGGCGCAGTAAACGCCATCTGTAGCACGATGCTACATTTTAGGATTACGTATGCTCCAACAAGGTCCATTTAAATATATGGATATCTACTTGCTTAAACGAATCCCGGCGTAGATAACCTCAACGTGATAGGCACGTTACCATAATCGAATAAAATAATTCGAAGTGGTCTGTATTCTGTCGAAACTGCCAGACGAGGATCGCGATTTCGATCTTTTTGGATCTCATTAGCGCGTCGCGGGCAGCTCCGACAGATGACGTTTACTGCGCCATTTGTAGTATTTTCTAAAACGCACTGTTAAGACAGCAGGTAATAGTTGGCAAGTGTTCTGTCGGAGCTGCCTGCGATGTGCTGATGAGATCCAAAAAGATCGAAATCGCTATCCGCGTCTGACAGTTTCGACAGAATACAGACCATTTCGAATTATTTTTGTTTAAGTGTTTTTTTTTTAATTCATATGGATTACTTTTTTTAAAGACTTCCATTATGGTCCCTTACGTGTATAGTACAACCCTAACTGCATAAAAAACTTCAAAAATTTAAACAAGAACGTAGGCAGGAGAAAGTTCTAAATAAGTTTAATGAAAACGCTGTTATCGCCAAAAGGTTTGTTTATTAAAATTGTTTGTTGGCAAGATCAAAAACGTACTTAGAGATAATATTTGTTATTGACAGTTAACTTCATTTAAGCTAATTATATGATAAAGTTTTCAATGTTCTACGCATATCTTAAAGGATATGCGTGGGTACTCCACTTTTATTAATTGAACCAAAAAGGACATTGAAAGTTCAGCTCTCATTGTTGTTAAAGTTGACAGTCAATTCATCAAACTGTCGATCTCATGTATACAATATACAAGTGTAGAAAGAATATTGGGCTTACCCACGCATTTTTTGTATAATCGTAGAACAATTTTTTATAGCAAAATAAAAATGTGACTTTTGTTTTTTAGAGGCTTTTTGAAATACGAATTAAAAACGGTTTTTCTTTCATTTTCATAGAACTACTTTCACTGATAAATAGTTAGATACACGGATATGATATTGGAATATTCAATTTTATAGGTGAAGATGTAAAAGTTACAAGTACATATTTTTTCTTGTTTATAATAGCGAATGCGTAAATACTAAATTAGAATATTGAGAAGGCCGATTACTAAGACTTTTCCACATAATCTTAGATTAATTATTCACCGAATATAGAAGTTACACATTTCATTGTTTTTGGTGAATGTGTGGAAATTAGTTTTTCAACCACGTCTCCTACTTCTCCGAAAGCTTTCCTAAACTAATTAAACTCTAAAAATATTTTGAACAAAGCGTAACAGCACTCAAAAGCTTTAGATTGCATTTATTGTATATACTGCACATTACTGCTGTAGTACCTGGTTATAACATCACCCAAGGGATCTTGGATATTTGGACGCAATAACCGAGTGTCGTTATTAACGGTAGAGTTTGCACGGCATGAATTTAAAAGGCAAACTGAACAATTTCGGAACAAACATTTTGAACCAACTATGTCATTCACATGGTAATCGCAATAAATGCAAACGGATGCAATAGGGGGTGAGTTTGTTCTTATTACCGATATTTATAGCGGTGGGACTAATAGAAAAATTGACGAGTTATCATTTACAACTTACAATCAATATTACTTAATCAACAAATTTAATCAAAACTTTCAGTAGTGCAACATTTGTGAAACATATTGATAATTGTCTGTAAAAGTAGAATAAAACACAAACTCTGTTTCACCAGTTTTATTAATCAACAACTCGATAATACTGTTTCGATCTTTCGATCACTATTAAGAGTAGGTACCAAACTATCGATCCAAGCAATATTGCCCAGTTGTCGATTAATGTTATTGATGAAACTGCATTTGTGATTTATTCGACTTTTACAACTTTTTGACAATTTTAAATACTTAGATATTTAATTTGAATAAAACTCACCATGGTAGCAGGTACAAATGTAGGAATGGTTTCAAAATATCCTAACGTAGAAGTATACGACCTTAAAAGGAAGTAAACAGCTAAAAATAACGCTCCTAAGATTGTAGCAATCCCTCCGCAAGCGCAGCAACAGAATACGTATTTTCTTATACCACCTCCGCTTGGATTTGCTGAAATATATATTTTTTATTAATATTATAACGTTAGAAAATGAACAATTATTAGTTTAATAACGAAATAATATAATAAGCACTTTAAATCATTGGGTATTTACAGGGGAATTTGTTTAAAGTAACGGCTTTTTATTATAGAAGCGAAATTTAGAAGATGATGTTTAAATTGAGTAGTTGTAGAATATTCAAATTTATCAGTTGATCTCAAAAGTGTTTTCATAACTTACATATTATTTTTGATCCAATATTGTAGGATAAGTTAAAACAACATTAATTTTAATAATTATCAAAAATTAATGTGAAACCAATTTAATTTCCTTCTACTACAAACTACCTCAAGTTAGTAAGAAAAATTTGTTACTGCTATCACACATTAATGTTTGATAGTTATTAAAACATTAACCGCTACTGGAAGTGGATTAGATTACTGTTCACAAATAGTTAAGAATGTAGGATGTTCTAGCTTAAGGGAAATGCGAAGATTAGCTCAGGATAAGAAAGAGCGGAGGTGCGTGTTCAACCAGTCTTAGGACTGACGACTTTATGATGATGATGGCTAAAATTTAAAAACTTTTTAAAAAGTATTGAAAATAATTATAGTTTATATAGTTATGTATCTACTATTTTTAAGAAATTCAAATAAACATTAGTAGTAGGTACTATTACTACGTAATATTTTTATAATTAGATTGTGGTGCAGGGCGCGAGATCCCGGGCAGTTGTCCTGCTCGCCGGCCCCAAAGGCCGCCCCTGGAGGGGAGAGTCCAAGATTTTGAGAAAGGGTTCACAAAAATTTCTGCCCCTTTTACTAATTTGGTTTTTCTGAACTTGAAGAGGAGGAGTTCAATCAACCCCCCAACCCTTTTAGATCAATCAGTGATTGAGTATTTATTTGTACCTTCGTCGGTAGTTGCATGAGCTTCAAGCAAGACGGAATAACAAGTGCATGTGCGTGTTTTCTGTGTGTAAACGCACTCCCTGAGTGTCTGCAAACGGTTCATGTGGATGACCGTTGTTGTTATGGTGACCAAGACGCAGGTGAGCGCGCACACGAGGCAACAAAGGCCGCAGACCTTAATCTGAAATATGAGGCGTCGTTAATGTCTCCAACAAGGTGGCAACATATGGTTTATTAAACATGAATTTTATCTGTTTTACCAAGTAGCTGTAGCGATTTTTTCTCCTCGCCAGACTCATTACGCAAAGGCCGGTCAGGATCAACTGGAAAGAAAAAGAATTCGGACAGGATTTCAATTAAGGCCTTTTACTGCTTCGTAAAATGTAATACAGCAGACCATTAATGATCTAATTAGAATCTAAATAATTAATCATTCTTTTGCGTCCAATAAAAAGATAATAAGTACCATTTAAAATGCAATACTTAAAACATTAACGATAAAATCGAAATATCATACATTTTAGAAAATACTACAAATGGCGCAGTAAACGCCATCTGTAGCACGATGCTACATTTTAGGATTACGTATGCTCCAACAAGGTCCACTTGTGTGGATATCTACTTGCTGAAAACGAANAATAAAAAATTAATTAACAAAAAAATATTTGATAATAATGATTTATTGTTTTTATACCTTGTGGCAAAGTTAATGGTTGCACTGATGGTGGAGGCATGTGGTACTGAACCACCTGCATCACTGGATAACCATGCATTGTGTAGCAAATTATCCTTAATTAGTTGAACAGTTATTTTATATCACGGATACACTTAATTTTGAATTATCGTTAAAAGTAACAGCCCGGAACAACATTTTCAAATATGTTCCTTACATTAAGTAAGTATTAGCAGAATTTCAATAAACAAATACAATAGAAATTTTTAATACATACGTTTAAAATAAAAATAACAAATTGCTTTTACCTTAACTTAATGTTAATAGTCAATAGAAAAATTATAAAAGAGTTTAAAAGATTTAGCAACAATTAATAATCCAAATTATTTTATCATTATTATAAACATTTATATTAAAATAAATAATGGGTAACTATATACCACGATACACATATTTCTGCGAATTTGATTGACGGATCGCATTTCATTATTAATTTAAATTTTTTACGCGTTTTATAAAAATTTTATTCAAATAACTAACACACTTAACAACCCTGACCAATTAAGTACACTTTCATTAAAAAATCAGGACACAAAAACACAGACTTGACTACCACTGTTTAGACAACATTCTTTTAGTTAGACGTTATATTCATTTTGTGAATGTTGTCGATTGATTGTAAGATAACAGTAAGGGTAACTGTTTAGAAAGCAAATCGCAGAGAGTCTGAAAAAACACTGGCAAATAAATCGGCTGATATAGTAAATGGCACGACGGCGTCTCCATAACGACGCTCTGCGTCTTTCTCTCTAAAAGTCAATATTTCCTTTCCCACCCTGCTCTTGCGTTTCCACTGATCTGTGAATTAATAAACTAAGCACTGGGCACCGATGTGTAAATTTGAATATGATGCAAAAATAAATGACCTTTATAATGCACAAACCTTGATTAGATGCACTTTAGGTAAATGGGATGCAGTATGCGAAAGATTTAATAATTAATAACAACCCACTGATCAATCATACCATACAAAATCTAATAATACTTAAAGGACAGAAGATACCAACAGTTTATTAACTAGGTACCTGCATTATAATTTTTATTTATATCTGAATTAGAATCAGTAAGCACAGTAAAATTAATTTCAATATATCTATGTGTAGACACACTTACGCTCTAACGATAAAAGAAAAACTGAGAAAATGTGAAAGAAAACTAATAACATTAATGAAAAGTTTTTAATTATTTTTCAAAAAAGGTTTNATAGTGGACTAAGTATCTACATTATAACGAAACAATCTTGCATCTGTAAAAAGAAAATAAAATATCAAATTAAAAAATTACTTCAACTGCAATAAAGCACCTTAGTGATTAACTAGGTACCTGCATTATAATTTTTATTTATATCTGAATTAGAATCAGTAAGCACAGTAAAATTAATTTCAATATATCTATGTGTAGACACACTTACGCTCTAACGATAAAAGAAAAACTGAGAAAATGTGAAAGAAAACTAATAACATTAATGAAAAGTTTTTAATTATTTTCCAAAAAAGGTTTTTTCTTCGATTATAAAAGTAAGTATTCAAATTAATATAACATTTAAGGGGTCAAAAATGTGAAAAAGTTTGCGGTTAATTAATATCACTTCTAACGCTTATATAATTTTCTATATTACTCTAAAAATATACAGACAAAAAGTGAGGCGTTATAACGAATGTCTACTTATTTTTATTTGGCATCTCCTAAAATTAAACATTGACGGCTTTATGGGGGGCGGCATTATCACTGTTATTCTTACTTTTATCCTGTTTTTCCGATCCACTTTGCCATCCTGAATCCATTGTTCCGTCACTATGTGATCCCTGTCCTTGCATTTCTTCTTCTTCAGTACTGTTTGCTTCTCCATACAAAAGTCCCACAGGATTAGCACCCAAGTTTTGAATAAGTGTTGAAATATTGGATCCAATTCGTCTATTGGGAGATTGATTTAGATTGAGGGTTTTGGGTGGAATGTTTTTTTGACTTGGAGATCCACATTTGGGTGAATTATAGTTCACGTTACTGGGATTATTGAAATTANCTATCTCACCTTTTCCTTATTAAATTCCATAAAGGCCTCAGTTCTCTTACTAATACCATTTTATTTCTAATCTACGATATTTTATCATAAACGTATAAAACAACCCCCAAACACTACCTCAAATTAATGAGGAAAAATTGTTGCTGTTGTCACACCCCCGCCGGGAATCGAACCCGGGCTCTTTGGCTTTACGCGCCAATGCTCTGACCACTAAGCTACAAGAGATGACAACAGCAACAACGACAAACCGTACTTATTAGGTCACAGATCTGTCGAACTAATGTAACTATATACTGAATATAAATATACATACAATGTAGAAATCATCCCGATTTTTTCCTCATTAATTTGAGGTAATGTTATGGGTAAAAATTGAGAATATTTCATATTAAAACAAACTCACTTCGGGAAGATTTCTACATTGTATGTATAAAACAACATTTCAAATATTTTTAACTTTTTCTTTTCCATTGCATTCATCGTCTAAGTTTTATTCCTTATATATACAGATCCGTACTCGATCAAATATTTTAATAAGCTTTCTTCTACCTTTGCAATGAAATTGAAACAGACTTGTCAATAATCCCATATTATGTCTAATTTTACCATCATTACTTACGTATAACAAATAGTACTTACACTTACCACTGTAGTCTCCGGGTAACGATCGGGAATTAAGGGTTCCCAAACCATCACTTCGAGGCCTGGGTGGCGGTCTTGGAGGTAAAGCCGGTGGCAGAGGAGAAACTTCAATTCTGTCGTCCACTTCAATCTTGTTCTTATTTTGTCCATGTGCAACAACTTCGTGTTTTTCCAAATTACTTTCGTTGTCGCTTTGCAAGTGGCAGTTGCAAGGAGGAGGACTCACTTTTGAGGGTAGGACCTGATTGAGTGAATTGTGAACGTGAACATGGACGGCTTGGTTTATGGCGTTTTGCGAATGACTCGTCGAAAGGGTCGTGTGATGGGGATGGTTGAGAATGTTATGGTGATGACTAGGTTTAACATGGCTGCACTGAATGTTGCAAGGTTTGGGATTTTCTAAAGGACAATTATTCTCTATACACTGACGCGTGTGATTGAAAGATAGCAAAGCGTGTTCACTTGTATCACTCGGATGATAAGCGTTCTCTATACTGGACTGTGGTCCAGGTGACGGAGATGACATAGTGGACTAAGTATCTACATTATAACGAAACAATCTTGCATCTGTAAAAAGAAAATAAAATATCAAATTAAAAAATTACTTCAACTGCAATAAAGCACCTTAGTGGTATACAGTGGAATTCTTTTATTATAGGAAAGTTCGGATATAATAACTCCGGCTATAGTGACCCAAATGATTAATAATAACATCTTCGCTCATTTTTCTGACCCTTCTTATGTATATTGATATTACAATTCATTGTTCTTTCTCATTTTCTGTTAATAAATATATATAATTTGCAGTTGTTTTCTCTATTACACTAAATAACTAACCAAAATAGAAAGTTGTCTATTTTCTAAGACTATGCTTTGTATGACGCCCGCTTAGTATGACGTGTTTGTTATTTCCCTTCGATGTCATTATAAGCGGAGTCTACTGCATTTGTAGACTCATCGTCAGAATAGTCTGTTCAATATAAAGTAAGCGTATTGAGTTAGGGTTGCCATCTCTAAAATTTGGAAACCAGGGCAAGACGCGTGAAAACCCCGGATTTTAGAGTCCAGAACCCGGACATGTCAACAGGTTTTTTTAAACATAGTCAGTGTAACAAAAAACAGTTGAAAATGTCATAAATCACCCTTTTATTTATTTTCAGACCTTAAAATTAAATTTAGTCATTCTTTATCATCATTTTCAATGTACCTAACAAAACAGAATCTTATAAAATAATTCGAAGTGGTCTGTATTCTTATTACTCTTATTACAGTTTGTTACAAATTGTTTTAATAATCAGTTAGATTTCTTTTACGTGTGTGGCGGGCGGCCCAAGACTTTAAATTTTTAAACCAGGACTACAAATGAAGCCCCCCCCCGGACGCTCCCCGGATGCCCTCTAAACTAGGACAAATCCGGGGAAACCCGGACGGATGGCAACCCTA